ACCCAAATCGACTGATTTTGACGTGAGTAGAAATGTTCGCCTGGTTCCTCCATTTAATGAGCGGGATGTTGATAAATACTTTATTTGAAAGAGTGGCACTCACACTTAAGTGGCCCAAAAATGTGTGGACTTTGTTGTTACAGTGTGCATTAAGTGGCAAAGCGCAGGAGGCGTATGCGTCTCTTTCTGTGGCTGATAGCCTTGATTTTGAAAAAGTTAAAAGTGCTGTTTTGAGGGCATATGAACTAGTACCAGAGGCTTATCGTCAGAAATTTCGTAAGATAAAAAAACGCTACAATCAAACTTATGTGGATTTTGTTAGAGATAAGGAAATTCTCTTTGATCGTTGGTGCGCTTCTAAGAAGGTTGCCGATTTTGCGCAGCTTAAGCAACTTATTTTGTTGGAAGACTTTAAAAATAATTTGCCTGAGAAAGTTACCACCTACTTGAATGAAAATAAAGTCTCAAATGTGTCAGAAGCTGCGGTGCTCGTTGATGAGTACATGTTAACGCACAAAAGTAATTTTGAGCGCTCACATCTCTTTAGTAAGTTTGACCACTCTGAAAATAATGGGAAGGAGTGGGCCAAAACTGCCTCGCTTGTTGAAACAGATGTATCTGCTGCGCTCGGTGGCGTGGGAGGCAAATCGGATAACAGGTTGGAATTAAAAACTAATGGGACGTGTTTTTATTGTAAAAAGGGTGGACACGTTATAGCCAATTGCCCGGTTTTGCAGAAAAAGAACACTAAGCCCGTCGCTCTAATTAAAACTGTGAAAGGCGATGTTCATCCGCTTTCAACACAGCCTTGCGAGTATGCTGATTTTAAGCCTTTCATTATGGATGGATTTGTTTCTTTGTCTCTAACTGGTGAAAAGATCCCTGTAAAAATATTACGAGACACTACTGCCTCCCAATCTTTTATTATGGAGGGAATCTTGCCGTTGAATAACGACACTGCGATTGGCTCTGATGTTCCAGTGCGTGGTTTTGGCATGCAAGAAATCTGCGTTCCTCTGCATAAAATCGTGATCCAGTCTGAGCTGTGGTCTGGTGACGCTGTGGTTGGGGTGCGTCCTAGTTTTCCAATAGCGGGCGTCTCCATGATCATGGGCAACGATTTGGCTGGGGGTCGAGTATTGGTTACCCCAGAGGTTACACCTGTTCCGGGGTTGAGCGACTGTCCAGATGCGCTCGCCCGTAAATTCCCAGGTGTTTTCACGTCATGCGCAGTTACGCGTGCAGCACTTAAACGTCATCAAGCCGAGAGGAAAGATGAGTTTGACTTGAGTGGAAGTTTTTTGTTCAACGCTGAATCCGAACATGTTCCATTGAAGCGAACTGTGGAGGATGACATGTTGGATGTGAATACGCTATCATGGTCTAGGAAGCAGTTGATCGAGCTCCAGAAAAGTGATAAGAGTTTGGAGTCATTGTTCGGCGATGCATTAACTGATAAGCCTGACTCCATTTCTACTGGCTATTTTTTGGATGATGGTCTTCTGATGCGTAAATGGACCCCTTTGAATGTGTCTCCTGTTGAAGAGTGGAGTGTGGTGAAGCAGATTGTTGTTCCATCTCCATATCGTTCAGAAATTTTGCGGTTGGCACATGATAATCCGTTAGCGGGTCACCTTGGCATCAGAAAGACCTATGATCGCATTTTGCGTCATTTCTTTTGGCCAGGATTGAAGAGCGATGTCGTACGCTATTGTAATTCGTGTCACTTTTGTCAAGTGTCTGGAAAGCCAAATCAGACGATTTCTCCTGCTCCTTTGTATCCCATCCCAGCCATCACTGAACCATTTGAGAGAGTATTGGTTGACTGTGTGGGTCCGTTGCCTCGAACCAAAGCGGGGAATAAATTCTTAGTAACGGTGATGTGCACCTCTACTCGTTTTCCAGAGGTTTTTCCGGTGCGTAAAATAACTACGCCCGTAGTGGTTAAAGCATTGACAAAGTTTTTTTCATTGTTTGGTTTACCTCGGGTTGTGCAGACTGACCAGGGGTCTAATTTCATGTCTAGAGTTTTTGCACAGGTTTTACGTCAATTGGACATAAAGCACTGTCATTCCAGCGCTTATCACCCAGAGAGTCAGGGCGCACTCGAGCGTTTCCACCAAACTTTAAAAACAATGCTTCGCACCTACTGTTTGGAGTTTGAAAAAGACTGGGATGAAGGTGTACATTTACAAATGTTTGCTATTCGGGAGGTGGTTCAGGAATCTCTGGGGTTTAGCCCGTCGGACTTGGTTTTTGCTCACACTGTTCGCGGCCCTTTAAGGCTGTTGAAAGAGAAGTGGTTGTGTGACAAATCTGACCTGAATTTGTTAGACTATGTTAGTAATTTCCGGATGAAGTTGAATCGTGCGTGTGAGATTGCTAAAGAGAATCTTAAAACTGCACAGGCTAAAATGAAGTCCTTGTTTGACAGAAGGGCAGTTTTGAGAGTTTTTCAGCCTGGGGAGAAAGTGTTAGCGTTACTTCCGGTTCCTGGTTCCAGCTTGCAAGCGCGCTATAGTGGGCCTTATACAATCACGAGAAAGGTTGGTAATCGTGATTATCTGATCTCTACTCCTGATCGGAGGCGCACTTCATGCTTATGTCATGTGAACATGCTGAAGCCGTACGTCGAACGTGCATCTGCTCTGCATAAATCTATCAGTTGTGTTTCCAGTGAACGAGATGACGCAGATGTCGGGGCAGCTGCAGATGCACGGGAGGAGCTGTCCGGTGCTGAACCTGAAGATGACGTTTTCTCCCCGGCTGTTACTGAAGGGAGGGTTCCAAATTCAGCGGTGTTGGGGAACTTGCCTCTCTTGTTGTCACACCTTGATTTTTCCAAGCAGGCTGATGTGGTTCATTTGATCCAGTCTCATAGGTCTCTGTTTGCAGATATTCCCACTCAGACTCGTGTGCTCAGCCATGACATTGACGTTGGTGATTCCAGGCCAATTAAACAACACCCGTACAGAGTGAACCCAGACAAACGGCGCCGTTTGCAGACGCAGGTGGAGTACATGGTGGAACATGGACTTGCTGTTGCCAGCAGTAGTGCGTGGAGTTCACCATGTCTCCTGACTGTTAAAGCCAATGGGGAGGACCGTTTTTGTACGGACTTCAGGAAGGTAAATGGGGTGACTAGGCCGGATTGCTATCCACTCCCTCGTATGGAGGATTGTGTGGACCATGTGGGGGCTGCCCAGTTCGTTACGAAGCTGGATTTGCTAAAGGGGTACTGGCAGGTGCCCTTAACGGCGAGAGCCCAGGAGATTTCCGCCTTTGTCACACCCGATGATTTCCTTCAGTACACCGTGATGGCTTTTGGGATGCGTAACGCCCCAGCGACATTTCAACGGCTAATGAATGTTGTTTTGTCGGGTTTATCATTCTGTGAGGCTTATTTGGATGACGTGGTGATTTGTTCTGCTACCTGGACTGAGCACGTTGACCATTTAAAAACTGTTTTTACGCGTCTGAGTGAGGCTAATTTGACGGTTAATCTTTCTAAATGCCAATTCGGCCACGCGACGGTGACCTATCTTGGAAAAAGGGTCGGGGGAGGTCAGGTGCGCCCCGTTGAGGCTAAAGTAGAGGCTATCCTTTCTGTCCCAGTGCCCACCACTCGTACTGAGCTACGCCGCTATCTGGCGATGGTTGGCTACTACAGGGGGTTTTGTAAAAACTTTTCCTCTGTGGCTGCCCCGTTGACAGACCTACTTAGCCCTAAAGTGGCTTTTATTTGGTCTGATCGGTGTCAATCTGCTTTTGAGCAAACTAAGCATTTGCTGGTTAATGCTCCTGTGTTGTCCGCTCCTCGTTTTGATGTACCATTTAAGTTGGCTGTGGACGCTTGTGATTCTGGTGTCGGAGCTGTCCTGCTCCAGGATGGTACTGATGGGGTGGAACATCCGGTTTCTTATTTTTCTAAGAAACTGGATAAGTATCAGAGATGGTATTCCACCATTGAGAAGGAGGCATTAGCGTTGATCCTTGCTTTGGAACATTTTGAGGTGTATGTTGGAGGTTCTAGCGGATCTGTGGTTGTTTTTACGGACCATAATCCGTTAGTTTTTCTGGCTCGCATGCGGAATAAAAACCGCCGCTTGATGAACTGGTCTTTGCGACTCCAATCCTTTAACATCTCTATACAGCATGTTCGTGGTAAAGACAACGTAGTGGCCGACGCACTCTCGCGTCTCTAGTCCCGTTTGTTTTTTTCTCTGAATGGGTTGGGTTTTTTTTTACTTCAGACCCCATTCAGAGTCTTTGGGTGGGGGTGTTATGTGCTTCGGGCACATTATGATTTTTGTCCATTTCTTTTCTTTGTTTCTTATAAACTTTAGTTGAAGGATCTTTTGTTAATATATTTTGGGATTCTTTTAGCAAGTTAATTATGTTAATTTGTGGTGCTGTCGTCCGCCTATAAATAGGCTGGCCTTCAGCACGTTAGCGCGTTCCTTTCGCGTTCCTTTCGCGTTCCTTTCCAACCTCGTTTGGACGCCACTTCCCACCTGCTTCATTTGCTCCATCGTGCGCGGTGCGCACTTGTCTTGTCGCTGCGGCCTGCAGCGGACGTTCCAGCCTGCCATGTGGTATTTTTGTTAACTTTTTCTTACTTTTTTCTTGAGGTTTTTGGCCTGGCGGGACCGGTAGTCCTGTTTTCGATTTTTCTTTCGCTTAGGTTATTTTTTGCCTTTAGTCCGGTACCAGTAGGGGCTTCGACGGCCCTGTATAGGGTTGGCCCCCTGCTGTACCGTTTTATTCTGTTTGATCGGCCTGCCAGGTCCAACTTTCTGTTGTTACTTTGGGTTTCTTTTTTTATTTTTTTGGGGCACGGGATTTGAGGGCTGTTAACTATTTTTCTCTTCGCAGAACATCTGAAGAAGCCGAACCAAGAACAACTAAAACGGAGAGAATTTATTAATAAAATATCTTTTTTTGAACCCTCATTTTTGTCTCGTGTCCTCAAATATGTTGTGTCCTTGGTGGGCGTAACAACATTCAGTGGTTTTATTCAGCAGTAGCAGAACCTAAGTCCAGCCACTGATTTTTCAAACAGCAGCCGGGTCCATTCAGAGCAGAAAACACAAACTTCAGAACCAATTCTGACTTCATAACAGAGGAAACAACTCTGAGAACTTATAGTCCATATTCTCACACAGTGAAGATCAGGTTCTGCTTATGTGGTTTAGCTGATCCGAAGAGTTTAGTGTTGATCCCTTTCCTGTGGTCCAGACTCTTTAAGAATCTGATCAAGTTCTTCTGACTTTGTATACCAATCTGAGGTCCTATGAAATAAAGAAAGTCTGTTTAACTCTCTTTCCTGCTTTATGCCTGACTGACCCGGGTCCATCAGCTGCAGCTGTCTTCCTCTGTCCTCCTGCAGGTCCAACTGGACCAGGATGAATCCTTCCTGCTGATTCTGTGTCCCTCAGAGAGAACCGGCTGAAATGATTGGAACCGTTTCACAGTAATTAATAAAACCTGTCTCCTGGTCTCATTTCATCAGACTCAGCCGGAGAGCCCGGGAACATGAATGATTCCCAGAACAGAACCGCCTGTCTGTCTGCAGTGAGCTCCACTTCACCATCAGAGCTGATAAATAATTTTCCCACAAACTAAAACATCAACAGAAAACAAACATGAATCTTCTCAGGTTTGGTCCAACTCAAATTTTTAAAAACGTCCATCCTAACTGTTACTATGGTAACAGGGACAGCCCAGATTCCCTTCCTGTCAGTCAGCGTATGGCTGGCTGTTTTTATCTCCTTCATCCTCTTCCTCCTCGCCTCCTCGGACGAACTGCCTCCTGAGTTTCTCCGGGTCATTTGATGCCATGTTGCTAAAGTCCCTGAAGATGTCCTGAAACGTCTCGTCATCACCTGAGGGGCAGAACGAGACATATGAGCTCACAAGACAGAAAGTTGACTATGCAGAGTGTTGGCTATAGAGTTAAATAGACGTAGCACCATGAAGGGACTGACCGGTGCCACTGAACACTCCCTCTGAATCCCTCATCTCCTCGTTCATCCGCGCCATGCGAAGCCTGAAAAACAGGAAATATGAGCTGTTAGAGCCCAGAAACATTGATACTAGGGATGTTAACCAATCAATACGATTAATTTTTGTTAAATGGATTAGTACAGGGGTATCCAATAAAAAATCAGCGGGGTCTAAATAAAGAAAATCATCAACCAGTAAAGTTCCATAAAGATACATTTTTAATTAGAATCTTACTTTGAACAGAATTAACCATTGAAATAAAATTAGGTTTAAATGCATCCATGGTATACATTGACTTTTTTAATAAAAAACAAAAAAAAAAATAAATAAATAAAAAATAAATAAATAAATATATATATATATATATATATATATATATATATATATATATATATATATATATATATATATATATATATATATATATATATATATATATATATATATATATATATAAATAAAAATAGAATATTTTTCCATTTTAAAATCTAAAGTGATGTTTGAAGTAGAGAACAACAATCGTTCAATTTGGTATATAGACAATTTTTGAAACATTTGCGGTACGTTGGTTAAGCCGCTCTTCCTGAAAAAGCACTAATATTTTTCTGTCTGGTGACAGCAGCGTTTTCTGTAGCTTGCAGCTTGCTTGTGTCCAGCCACCTTATATTTTGTCTTTTTCTGTTGGTGTCACTTTTTCGCTCCCTCTCCCAGCCTAACTGACCGTGTTGAGGTCTGCTGTTGCTTGCACTGTCGAGCAACCTTATTTTTATTTTTTCTATCAGGTGTCGGCAGCGATTTCTCGCCCCCTCTGCCAGTATAACCCGCTTTCTGAGTTGCCTCTTTACACTTAAGCCTGGTTTATGCTCCCCCCTCCGCAGACACACTGGTGCAACTTCTCAAAAATTGTAGGTGACCTCAGACAGATAGCGTCACAGGGAGGAGAGAAAGGAGGCCTCTAATTGGTCAACACTAGGCAAATTGGCTGTTTGGTACCTAATTGCAGAAACGCTGGCTGCAGTGGCGTCCATAACGCCTGGTACACCTCAGCGCTATCCCAGACACCTTACAGGTATGGGAGAATTATCCTGCCATAATGCAAGAGCACATAATTTCGATTTGAGAAAAGAATTTCATCTTCTTGCACTCAAAACTTATAATGCTCACACTCAAAACATGCGCTCTCTCTCAAATATTTTCTCTTCTCTCTCAAATCTTTGTTTCTTCTCTCAGATTTAATGCTTCTTGCACAGATATTTTCTCCTCTCGCTTGCCTCCTTCTCTTCGCGCACAAACCGCGCTCTGCTCGGGTCTGAAATGCGCTCGCAAACCCGTAGGCTCTGCTTGCGGATTTTTTCTGCTCTCTCACGGATTGCAGCTGGATCGTCGCCTAGCAACCTTTCCAGCCAATAGAACGACAGCCTCGGAAAGGGTGCGCTTGTTTAACCCTACTGAGTGTGCCTGTGCTACTACGCCACTTATAAGAGCGTCGGCTGAAACTGCTATTTACAGTAGTTTTGTGGCTCGATTCAGCAAAGTTCAGTACTTATGGATAACCCAAAAAATCCTGAATTAAGTAATTTTAAACAATTAGTGGTTTGTTATGTACAAAAGCAAAGAACAGACATATTAAATTATTATCTTGAAATACTTTGTCAGTATTGATTTCAAAATGTAGGTGGCGTAGTAGCACAGGCACACTCAGTAGGGTTAAACAAGCGCACCCTTTCCCAGGCTGTCGTTCTATTGGCTGGAATGGTTGCTAGGCGACGATCCAAGTGCAATCCGAGAGAGAGCAGAAAAAATCCGCAAGCAGAGCCTACGGGTTTGCAAGCGCATTTCAGACCCGAGCAGAGCGCGGTTTGTGCGCGAAGAGAAGGAGGCAAGCGAGAGGAGAAAATATCTGTGCAAGAAGCATTATATCTGAGAGAAGAAAGAAAGATTTGAGAGAGAAGAGAAAATATTTGAGAGAGAGCGCATGTTTTGAGTGTGAGCATTATAAGTTTTGAGTGCAAGAAGATGAAATTCTTTTCTTAAATTGAAATTATGTGCTCTTGCATTATGGCAGGAAAATTCTCCCATATACAGGGTGCTAGTTTGTAGCTCTGTGCGAAGATCTGTTGGTTTGCACCTGAAGTCAAAACGCGCAATGCCACGGCCAGTGTTTGGGGAACACTCCTGGGTGCACTGTGTGTCGTCTGGCTTTGGATGAGGGGTTGTAGACGACGAACAAACTCGTCACACCCACACACGGACACCCATAATGCTAGCTAGTTTGTGCTAGCTCTTGCATTGTGGCGTGGAAAAAAATAGTGCAGACCACGCTTTAAAATTGGGCATAAATCAAAAATATCTGCAACAATCACACTGCTGCAGGAGTAAAGCCAGCCCTTTGGTATCAAGACATTTTTTATTTGCCTGTTTGGGTATAATCGACACCACCTCTCCCGATATCAGCCTATTTTCTGTTACCATCTGAATTGGTTGATCCATGTGAACTTGGACAGGGATATCTCCCATAGCTGTGTGGAGTGCGCTTCTGTGCTTCAGGCAAAGGATGGGTGGGCTCCTACACCTTTTTCTGTGCCTCCATCAGAGGAGTACCTTAGGCAGTTTCACACCTGTTGGCGGGATCCAAGGGTGTTGTCACGTCTGTTCACTAATGGCCAGGTGCTGGCTGCCAGCATGAGTACGCCAAGGCTGGCCTGGACTGTATGCCAGCACTTGAACCTGATGTTGCCTCATTAATTATGTCGCCCCATGAGGCCCTGCGCTCATGGCAGAATGATTGGAGCTATGTTCAATGCCCACAAACTCAATGTCAAGTCCCAGATAACCTCCTCAGTAAGGCATACAATGCAGGAGTAAGTGCTGGCCACCTTTGGAACTCATTGGCATACCTCTTGTTTGCACATGCTGCATTGCTTCAGGATGCTGTTGGTGCAACTGTGGTGGAGGGATTTGGTTACGCAGTATTGCAGGACTTTGCTATGCTGATGTGGTAAACTATGGAGGCCAACACCTCTGTGGTTTACCACATCAACTATCAGGGAAGCACTAGATCTGCACACCTTCTGAAGGTGTCCAGGGATCTCCTGAAGGGGTCCAATGGCATCTTCCAGCCAGGAGGGATCTGCTGTCTCAGTTGGGGAGAAGAATATTGCACCCCAACCCTCAATTTGTCCTGCTGTGGGTATACTGAATGCTACGGCACCCTCTGCTCAGGAGCAATACAAGAATAGATGGCGTCTATTGTCTCAGTGGTGTTCGGTCCGCAATGAGGACCCAGTTTCCTGCCAGGTGCCCGAAGTTCTGGAGCTTCTCCAGTCTTCATTTGGTAAGGGTTTTGTCTCCTTTGACCCTTAAGTTTTATGTGGCAGCAATCTCATGTCATCATACATCTTTTAATGACCGTTCAGTGAGTGGCCATAGTCTGCTCTCTTTTTTCTGAGAGGTGCTCAAAGGTTGGCCCCACTGCTCCTCCCAGAGTGCCTGACTGGTATTTTCCTTCGTTCTCGACAATTTGTTCTGTTCCCCTTTTGACCCCTATGTGCAAGCAGAGCTCAAGTGGCTCTCATATAAGACTGTCTTCTTGTTAGCCCTTGTATCAACTAAGAGTGTTGTAGAACTAAATGACCTTTCCATTAGTTCCTTATGTCTCTGATGGGATCCAAAAGGCTCTGGTGTTACCTTGAGGCCCAACACTGCGTTTGTGCCCAATCTGTTGGCCCATTCACATTGTAACCAGCTGTTGCGGTTGGCCCAGTTTCAAAAAGACTTAACCTTCGCCAGTCTGGTACAACTGAGGAATGGTCTAAATTGTTGTCTCCTGTACAGGCGCTGGAGGCTTATAGTGCTGCTGCTAAAACTGTAAGGTGGTCAGACCAGCTTTTTGTGTACTATGGAGGTTCCAAGCGGCGCTGTCCTCTATCTGAACAACATCTCTCCCACTCAATTAAAGGCCCACTTTACCAGGAACGTCTCCACCTTCTGGGCTGCTATTAGGGGGTTTTGACTGGAGGCCATATGTTCTGTAGCATAATGGGTTACTCCAAGCACATTCACAAGCTGCTACAACCTCAATGCGGCTGCCCCTCATCTCGAGGGCCAAGTTCTTTTTCACGAGGTTCGGCTGGGCCCTCTCAGTGACTTAAGAGTGCATACAAAATTAAATTTCATTTAGTATGGGAAGTATGTGCTCAGGATTCCGGATGACATGGTTGGTATTAGCCACTCAGTGTTTCAGCACTGTCCTCTAGAGGTCAGTTATGATGCAATCGTACTAAAGTTACGGATGTCACTACTGTTTTATGAATCCTGGATGACCGTCCACCGCATGATCTGACACCCAAAACACACTGTATCCATAAACCTTAAAACAGGTCTATTATATATCTTTCAAAGGCTGTATTGTATGATATAATTACTTGTGTTCTAAATGTATATTAAAAATAAATCCGTAGAGTAAGACTGTTTTATTACACAGGTTCAAAGTTTGAAATTACAATTTTATTTGCAGAAATTGATCGATTCCCCCTAAACATTTCCTGCAGACCACCTTTCCACATTTATGACATACATTATATGAGCATTTTTTTCTGCAGTGCAGAAGCCCCTGGCGCTGTTTTCTGTGCCTCGCCAACAAGCTCTACTGCGGCAGAGGGGATGGTAACATACGGTTTGCCTGCAACTGTTTTAGCAGTTCAAGAGCTGGTGCAGTGCTTGAACAAAAGTTTTACAACCGTCTGATGGTTCACTGATACCTCTGCGTTTTCCCGGGGGTGGGTGATCTTCCTCTGACTCGCTGTCAGAGTCTGAGCTGCTTCCTAACCAGTCATCCTCATCGGTCTGTCTCCCTCCGCCCAAATCGCCATCATCAATATTTTGAAAGATTTCTAAAGCCTGTTTTGCTGTTAGATTTCTTCTGAAAGCCATGTTTTCCGTTTTAGCCAAAGAGTTCTAGGTAGAATGTTGGTTGCTAGGCAACGGTACCAAACGTCAATCAACCGGGGGAAGAATTTACAATGCAACTAATGGTGCCATAAAAATGAAGGCTGTGGGAGATGGAGGTAAAATTAACCATATAAATATTTTACATTTTAATTTCATTAAACAAAACCACATGAAAATGAAGGAAATATAAAAAGAGAAAAAGTCAGTTAACATGAGCAACAGAAGCAGCTGTGGCTACAATGTAGCTCACCACCATCAATGTGTGCGTGTGTGCGTGAATGGGTGAACGACTGAATGTAGTGTAAAGCGCTTTGGTCAAGTCTCCTGACTTGAAAAAAGGCGCTATATAAGTACATGCCATTTACCATAAGTTTTAAATAAAGTTCTTTCCCTTTAAAATCTCAGAACCGTCAAAATGACAGCCTTGGGAGTTCTAGTGTTAAAGACCTTGCTATACTAAATTTACATTGTATGTGTGTGAATATGTGGAAATGCACAAATTAAACAAATTCCCGTGTTGTATGTATTAATGAAACTAATCCACACATCATATGATTTTAAATGCACCTCTGGGCTTTGCCACAGTTACAGCTGTTTAGACTCACAGAGTGACTATGTCAGCGTTGGCCGTCTCCACCGCGATAGCCAGCGGGTCCTTCCCTGTCTCATCCACAGCGTACTGATTGGCTCCTCTCTTCAGCAGCAGACACACCTGTCTGGATTCAACAATGAGAGCGAGCCATGTTGGTCAGCATGGTGAGGTTCGCTGAGTGGGTCAGTGTAGCGGTGTAGTTACCCGGTGTGTCCAGCGGTAGCAGCAGCATGCAGAGCGCCACGCCCTCGAAGGTCTCTGTGGTTCACATTTGCACCGTTCTGCAGCAGGAACTCGCAGGCCAACAGGGACCCCTGCAGGGGGAGGACAGAATCACAGCATCTAGCTTATAATGTCTGGACGGTACGGGGAGGACCGGACTTATGGGGCACATGAGAAGTGATCTCACCCCGACAGCCGCTCCTATCAGCGCCGTCCGTCCCTCCTCCTCAGCGACACTGCTGTTGACCTCTGCTCCTTCAGCCAGAGCTGTCATCATGGCAACAATATCTCCAGCTACAGAAGCCAGGTAAAGACGAAGCCCCACCCCTTTATCGGGCCCTAAGACAGAAAGCTATGCTTATATAAGAGGCTCACTGGACAGATTCTATTTCAGGAACAGAAACTGCTCCAGATCAGGCTGATACTCCACCAACAGTAGGACTTACGGGCTCCACCTGGGCTGCTGCTCTGAACGAACCTCTTCTCCACGTACTTCTCTCTGATCCACATCTCTTTCTCTGACCTGAAACACAGAGCAGCTCCAGGGATTACAGATCATCTCAGAAGAGGAAAGCCCTGCAGCTGTTCAGCAGACGTCACGCCTCACCTCGGACTGTCGGAGGTGGGTTTGACTCGTCCTTTCTCAGAACATCTGGCCTCGTAGATCCCATTCACCACATCGTTTCCCAAAACACACAGCAGCTGCAGAAGAAGGTGATTATGTGAAGATCTTTAAATGAAGAACTGATTATTAAAACCTAATATTTCTGATTGGTTTATTTGAAAAGAATGAACTTTTGGCAAGAAAAAACAAGCAGAACCTTTCCATTACTGAGACTACTGGTGGAGACAAAACCCAACTCAATTATAGGATTCTAATAAATTAGAGGGCTCTGGTGGCGTCTCTAATCACTGAGGCGGTTTTCAATTGATTTTGTTGAAGTGAACAAAAGAGGCAACAGTGCATAGATCTGTTATCATAGAGATTTAGATCTAGTTTAAAGACAAAGATGCACAAAAAACAAACAATTAGGATGTGACTCTTATTTCATAAAATAATTGTTTGTTTCTAACAGAACCTCCAGATGTCAACAATTTAAACCTAACAAATGACAAACTGACAGATCCTTCATCCTACTACCCCAAGCAACTATTGAAATTTGGGATGTCTCACTCCAATATTAGCCAAAAAACTAAAATCAGTCTCCCCAAGGATTCAGACTCCCCTCCGTGCCGGGAGTTCCCCACGTCCCGATGGCAGGAACTTCTGGTGGAGCGAATCACTGACCATGCATATGGAGAGGAGAGTGATAAGAGGGAGGAGAGCCCCAGTCCAAAGCGCCAGAGGCTGTCCAGTCAGTCTGTTTTAGAACAGCTATGCCTTCTCCCTTTTAAAATCTTCCTGTTAAAAGAGTTTTTTCGCTCGCTTCAAGCATGCTTAGTGTGATGGATTACCTTAGAGTCAATGAGATCAACTGGTTTTCCTTAGACAGAAAACTTTGAGTCAGTTTGACTGTATGATCAGGTGAACTTCAAGTGCCTTGAGATGACATGTGTTGTGAATTGGTGCTATAGAAATAAACTGAATTGATCGTATTAGCCTGCATCTATAATCTCTAATATTAGATAGCTGATAGAAATACTCTGCTTCTTTATAAAGAATGGATAATAATAAATAGGTTGGTGGTTCTCATACATATTTTTGTGAATTATTGTTCTGTTTGAGTTATTTCACTTCAAGCTTTTTCTAACCTTTCTCACAACAAAATGCTCTATAAAGTTGAACATTATTTGTGCCGATATATTGCTTTGATCTTCTTTAAAGTGAGTCCTGGTTCATGTGTTCATTTATTAGACGGAGCCCAGTCTACTGACACTGCGTAACCCAAACAACCTGAAAACTACTGATGAAGTTAATATTACAATTAAAGTAGCTTAACAGTCATAATAAAGTAACTAACATGCTGGTAAACAGAACCAACAAAAAAACAAGTTGGAGAGCTACAGCTGCTGACACAAGCTTTAGCAGCCTCTGCTTCACTCAATACAGGGAGAATAAAAGGCACTTTGAGGTGCAACAATCTCTGAATGATTGGAGCCAATAAAAGCAGATCACATGGCAGATCCATACCTATTTTTCACCCAATGAAAGAAACCACATTTTATTTCATATATCACATACAGCGATGGTAGAAACTGTCAGACCAACATTGATTTTTTTTTTTTTTATGTTCACCAAATGGGGGGCGTTGGGGGGGGAGGGAAAAAGAACATTTGAGTATCTCTCATATTCTTTTAATCTAATCTGGATCTTAAACTAATCCACTTCCAGGACATTCTAGGCTGTACAGAACCTGATTATTGCTATAAACAGTAGGGGTGTAAATCACACCCATCATGGCAATTCGATTCAATATCGATTTCCTGACCCAACGATTTGATTATTTTCGATACTCAAGAATGCATCACGTATTGATTCGATTGTTTTTTGTTTTTTTTTAAACCTTACAGGCTAGACAATGTTTCAAATTTGAAATAAATCAATGAAAGCTGTAATTTCGTTATGCATTTTTTGAGAAACAACAGCAAATAACAGAAGTAGAAAAGTTGCACTCCACCTATTCCTATTAAATACTGATAAATAATAATACCCCTGTGTTATAGATTCTGAAAGGCCTTGCATCAAAAAATACTGCACAAAATCAGTGCCGAGTGCAATGGAATACCTCGGCTCCAGACGTCCCCGCCCCCTCCACAGATGCTCCGCTGCCCCTCTCCCAAATTGTAGCTGACAGCAGACAGTGCTGCAGACAGGAGGCCAGCTTGTTTTGTTTTTATGACCGAAATTGCAAAAACAACTCGTGAAGTTTGATCGGCTAGAAGAGTGAGGTGCGCGAGAACGCTGGGACCCTTTTTCTACCTGGATCTCCACTCTTTTTGGCCCTCATGTCCCTCCGTCGTCCGACTAAAATCGCCCCCACTTCCTCATTGCCTCGGCCATATCTAGACCCACAGCGTGTAGCACAGACCACGCCAATATTGAGCATAAATCAAAAATGTCAGTGTCAAGCTCACTGCAACAAACTGCTGTAAGAGTATAACCAGGAAGCGAGGTAGGAAGACAAAATAGGTTTAGCGCCACCGCAGAACGGGAGGGAGAATTACGCCCAGGAGCAAATGGATAAAAATAGGCCGGAGGGAAAAAAAAAACATGAATCGGTTCTCTTGCCGACGTATCGATGCATCGGAACGTCGGCTGTTGGATCGATGCATCGATACAAAACGATTATTATTTACACCCCTAATAAACAGCTTTCCGTAGGGTGGTTGTTTCTGCTACTTGTACCTTCAGCTGTTCGGCCTCCCAGGAGTCCAGGGTCAGGGAGCGGATCTTGGACAGGTGAACACCGAGGCTCCTGTGGACACATAGATCAGAGACGTCTCCCTCAGACACAGAACCTGGTTGGTTCCCATCATCAGCATCCCCCCCAACGCACCTGTGGATGCCGGAGCACTCGATGCACACGGTGACTCCCAGGTTGACTGAGGCCCAGCGTGGCTCCTCCTGCCCGCAGTCGCAGCACCGCTGGTTCCCAGGGCCCCCGAGGGCCACGCCAAGCACCGCCGGCCTCTGGGAGGATGGACCTGGAGAAGCGTCACCGGCAGAGAGGACGGGGGGAGGATCTTTGGGCTGAACGGACACAGAGATGGATCAGATAGAATAAAAACTTTATCTGTTGTTAATATTAGCTGTTATTGTTCCAAATTTGTGTCTGAGGGGAGGGGGATGGACAGATGGATGAGGACAGATGGGTGAAGACGGACGGATGAAGATGGATAGATGAGGACGGATAGATGAGGACGTATAGATGTAACTGTGGTGGACCTGCCTGTGTGAGCTGAGCGTCGCTCCTCTCCCTGTAGGCCAGATCGATGCTGCCCTGCAGAGCGCTGAGCCACGCCTGCTTCAGCTGCTCAGAGTTGGCCTGCAGAACACAGCACCTGACACACACACACACACACACACACACACACACACGCTGCTGAGTGACGCTTCCTCCTGTAGGCCAGCATCATGCGGCTCTAAGTGTGCCGTCTTACTTCTGGACCGACAGCAGCTCGAAGCAGAACCGTCGATCCATGTGGTCTGCAGGCTTCACAGCACACAGTCGGAGATCCTCGAACAGAACGGCAGCGTCCTCCTGCAGAGACATGAGCCCAACATCAGACACCTTCTGGACCCTGGACCAGGCGGGGCTTCAGGCTTCAGTAAGCAACTATATAGCACACGGCAACACGATTCAAAATGTTACATTGAACTGCAGTGGCAGAGACGCAACATGGATAAAAGTTAGAATTATAAAAAGATTTATAAAATGACTGATGAAAAATTAAAATTACAATGAAAGGGAAGGTTTACTTTGAAAAAAAAGAAAAGAAAACTTATTAAACAATATTTATACAATCAAAGGCATTTATACAAAGACGCTTTAAATCTAAATTTAAAGCCACTGAGAATTTCAGAGCTTTAGTTTTCTTGGAGTTTATTCCAGATCATTGGAGCTTAAAAACTAAAAGCTGACTCTTTGGTTCAGGTTAAGGTTCTGCAGAGTAGATTTCATCCAGTAGACCAGAGGTCTGAGAACTCAAACACTGACAGCAAGTCTATAATGTATTTTTGATCAAAGCCATTCAGTGATTTTTTTTTTTTTAGACAAACAGGTTTTTTTTTTTAAAACTCTATTCTCAGAGATAAAGAGACCCAATGGCAGGAGTTTATAACTGGGCCGATGTTCTCCACTTTCTTCGTCTTAGTGAGGACGGTGGCAGCAGCTTCCTGGATCAGCTGCAGTTGTCTAATCTATGAAAACACCTCTGCAGGGATCAATTCTATTAAAGATGAATGCAGGAGATATTAGTTTTTCAAGATAAGACATCAGTCCTTTAATCCTGAAGATGGTTTTACTTGATAATAGGCCAATTTTTTTTGTCTTTATGAGCCTCTGAAGGTTTGGTTCTGAATCCATCACTACACCCAGATTCTTAACTTTTTAACAATCTTCCTTTTGTTCAAATTTTATTCAGTTTTGTTTAGATTCAGCTAAAGAAAATGGGTCACATCCATGCATTGATTTTTAACCCAGTGCTAGAATGGGTTTTAGAATGGTGACGTACAGCTGTGTGTCGTCTGCAAAGTCATGATAACTGTTGTTATTTATTAAGATCTGGGTTAGGGGGAGGATGTGGATAAGAAATAAATGGGCCCCTAACATGGACCCCTGGGGAACGCCACATGTAATTTCTGTGACTGTGTGGACTGTGATTCTTCCAACTGTCTCTATTTTCATGGATTTCACTGAGCACTTTGATAAGAACAGTCTCTTTACCAAGGTGCGGACAGAAGCCTGACTGGAAGACTACTAGCAGGCTGATCATTGTTGGGAAGGTGTTGAACTGCTGAAACTGAGCTTTTTAAAATAATCAGTATTGAAGGGGAGATGTGAGACTGGCCTGTAGTTTTGTAGTAGCAGATTTTCCAAGTTGCTCTTTTTCAACAGCTGTTTGATGATTGCTTAGGGTGTTTTTTTGGATTGATCTTTTAACCATGGGAGAAATATTATGGATTTATGGATTGGTCCAAGCTCGGATCAGTTAACCAGGCTGAGCTCGGTTCTGACGACCGTTTACACATCACGCTATCTCGGTTCCTCGACACCTAGTGATGATCTGCAGTATTACTGCCAGTATTAAAGGATGAAATCAAGCAGTTGGTGGCGGTAATGCACCGAAAGTTGTTTGCCAACCGCCATAAAACACAAGAAGAAGAAGACGAAGAAGAAGGGAATCAAGCAAATCAAAATGGCGGCGCCCGCACATTCAGACAGTTATGCTTGATTATTATTGCTGTACGTCGGTGTTTGCGGAGGATCAGGCGAAGACGGCAACCTTTCGTGGATTTACTTTAGAAAGTCGGCTTAACTTAGTTCTTCTTCTGTTTTGTGTTGGTTGGTAAGCAACTTCTGGAGGGGCATTACCGCCAACTACTGGAATGGAGTGTGAATCGGGATGTGCAGCCAGACGGAGATGACGCATTCTGCTCATGCGCTCTTGTTATTAGAAAACCGAGCCAGGGAAAAACCAAGCCGAGCCCACCTCTGGAAGTGGTCTGCAGTTAGCTCGGTTCGGTTGTGTCTAGCTCGGTTCAGTTCAGTTTTCTTTCCATTTACACACGATAAGTTATCTCAGTTACTGAGCTCGGACCGGTCTCGGCACGGTTTTTCAAGGGAAGTGTAAATGGGGCAACAATTACAAGCCGAATTACCTCAACCTTGCATCTTTCGCATGAATTCTTTTTCTCTTACTTCTGGATACTGACCAGCATAATCTCTCTACAGGGCTCAGTCCAAAGTGGGTTGTATAGCAGATACGTTTATGTGGGCACAAATAATCGGATTGAAGGCCTGTTCGGATCAAAAATGTGTCATGTAAACATGACAGACTGAAGATTCTAATCCAATTTTGTCGGATTGGAAAGAGATGGGTTTTTTTTCCCGATTTCCTTTCCGCTTGGTGTCCATGTATACAACCTTTTGGATCTTTGGAGTAAAATCATATTTGCATGTGTGGAACATCAGTGTGATGTTTTTCTAAACTAATCTTCATTCACTGGCTCCTGGTCCTTGGTGGGGCAGGCGGCTCTAAATGTAACATGTAGATGAACCCGCCATCTACCCCGTAAAGGAGCAAAGGAGCATTAGTACAAGGTACCGCTGAGTACAGGTTTGTTTACAAAACAGGCAGCCTCTACTACTATTACAGTGTTTGCTATAAGCTAGACAGTTCTGCATTTTGCTCAAATTATTTAATCTGATCCAAAGCTTGCTTCATGTATAAAGACTCCATTATCAGATCATTTTATTCGGTGTCCATGTAAAAAGAGATTTTAAACTTTCTATCAACCGAGATTTAGTTCAGATCAGAAAAATTTGCGCATGTAAAACGTAGCTACTGTGAGCAGTAAGATTGCACCGGAACCAGAGCATTGGGTTGTAAAGTATAGAAACAGATATCGTGAACTTAAACCCTGTGGTTTTGTTGTACAGTCAGAGCTTTAGCCAAGAGCAATGATTGGAAACATCATACAGTGTATACCCAGCTTTAGTCTATCTAAGATTTCTCCGCACTCTCTGTTGTTTATTTGGTGAAACTGAGTAGTCACCATGGCAACATACCAAGAATCCAAAGGGGGTTTGATAAACTGTTACTTGTTGAGTCGTATATGTGCACTGAACAACATTTGACAAGTTTCTAAACATGGTTGTAGCAAATCACAGTGAAGACAGCTAGACAGAGCAACATATCTTTACTGTGCCGAGCCTTAAACTGAGGAGGGACATCTGGCCTGACCAAATTACCTTTCTGGCCTGACCAAATTACCTTCTACAATAAGGTGAAGTCATTTTCTTTAAATTAAATTCTTGAGAGAATTTACTATCGGTCTCTGCCAAGTGACGTCAATTGTTTACCTCGGGCGCGGGACACTACGCCTTTACCACCTAAAATGGTGTTTTAGCAACAAATGTCACGTGACTGGCGGAGACCGATTTTCCTAAATCCGCCCCTGTTTTCAGGCTTATGTTAACTGTAATGACTTATCTTGGACAGGCTGCTATGTAAACGGGCCTTTAGTCCTTCGTTTAACTATGCTGCGGTTGTTTACACTACGCCTTTTCCACCTAAAATGGCGTCTTAGCAACAAATGTCACGAGACTGATTGCAGTGACATCAACTACATGGACAGTTAACAGAGTGAAGTCAACTGTCAGACAGACGATTATATCAATACACTTCATCAAACAGTCATATCTTCTAACTCACTGCCAACTTTTAAGTTTTTTTTTTTTTTTTTGCAAAAACAAGATGGACCCATTAAGGCACATAAAAATGGACCCATTAACACAGTAACATAAAGGACCAAGTCAGAACCGCAGCAGAACTCACTCACCACAGAACCGCTTGGCGCCGTCTTCCTGAAGCAGCTGAGTCATGAGATGAACGGGGCAAACGGATTGGCTGAATGTTTGATGTCATACAGAATCACCTGTTCAGACTGAGCTCTAGATTCAAAGTTAATGGATTCAAGTTTTAGGAATCAGGAGCGTAATTTGATGGATCGGATCATAGAGGGAAAAATGCCGACGGTTCTGTTGAGGCTCGGATTTTAATTGGGTTTATTTAGTCAAAAGTTTCTGAATCAGATTCGGAGCTAAATCAGCAGGAAAGGAAAGGATAGTCAAATTAAAAAAGTTGGTAATTCCACTAAAATCATCAGGATTAGAGAGAAACAGGAGGGAATAATTTGAGCTGCTGGATTATATTGATCATTTCAGCTGGTTCTTGCGACCGGATCTGAGAATCTTACCTTGTGGGACTTCTTGTAGATGAGCTGATGATCTCTTATGGTGAACCAGCATCTGGAACCAGAGGAAACGAATTAACCCTAAACAGAGAGCGGTCAGGGCGAACAGCGGCGCTGTACCTCTTCCAGGTCTTTGATTTCCTCCTGGAGCGTTTGAACAGGTATCCCTGGATGACGGCACCGTTGCTGGGACACGAGTTGACCATCGGCTCGCCTGAGGCATCCTGAGGACACAACAATGACGCCGCTTTACTCCAAATCCACTCAGAATCCCTCCACCAGAGCCCCTTTCTTAAAGTAGTGGAGTAGGCAGCCGGTTCCAGGTGGATTCTGAATCTACACAACGATCACAGAACTTTCCAAAACCAAACCTCAGGGTATTTAAGTAATGCTTTACCTCGAGGGTGAAGGTTTGTGATTCACGTTTTTACAAATAAAAATACAAAAGTGTATAAAAGTCCTGCCCTGCTGCCTTCAGAGGTCTCCTGATTATTAAAGCAGATCCAAGCTTCAGACGCTGACCTCAGTTCAGCCATGTAACCCTCAGCCACTGTTTTCAGTAAAAACAGAAAAGATGTGGGAATAGGTGGTCTGATCAAAGGAGGCCAACTGCTGAACACCTCTACACATCATCCTGTGTGTCACCCTCACACTTCACACACTTGAAAAAAGCTGAATGCAGACAGACAGCAGGTCAGACCCAGAAGATGAAGAGGATTCTGTTGCATAAAAACAGGAAGCAGCGAGCTGCCTAGAAAGTTTTAGAGCTGCAGCCAAAGCTGCAGTATTAAACCACTTAAAAACATCCGTCTCTGTTCCGTTTTAAATAAAGGGCTTCTTCGTGTAGGAGCTGCATTTCTCCTCCTGTTACTAATAGTCTATAGATAATAATAAATTCTTCCTTTTTTCATTTGGTGGGGGAATAATAATGAACACAGTCAGATCACAGAGCAAATGAACATTTTGCCAAATAAAACAAAAAAAACTCCCTCAGAGCCAGCGGTCCATCACACACGGCTATTCAGAGAGGGCTGCTGCAGACGAGCCTCTGAGCTCCTCACAACTTTGGAAATTTCTTTTAAAATTACGCATTAATCGGTAAATGGACCATATAGTGACGCTTAGAAGTATAATGTTCTCGCCTCAAATGATCTTAAAACGTACTTTTATTGAACAACAGCAACAGAATTAAGTTTTACCTTAATACTCTGAGCTCTATGAGCGCTAACCTGAAAGCTGCTGCTGCCGCAGTGCATGCTGGGACAGCTGTCAGTTTCAAGAACAGACAAGTCTGCACTGATGCATGCTGGGTAAAGAGGGAGGGATGAGAACAACATCTGGGGACTTCTCTGTCTTCTTGTGTATTAGAACAGTACTAGGGCTGGGGCTGATGACGTTTCATGAGTACACGAGCACATGAGAACGCACACATACTGAGAAACAGCTTTTGTTGGTTTTCACTATTCTGATTCCATAGTGGGAGCGGATTGGAGCGGTCCTACTTCCTGTTGCTTTGGGACAAATTATGACCCTCATGAGGAGCAGTTGGAAAATTCAGATTTCTTATAGAGCTCAGGAAATCTTTCTGGATCCGGTTTAACAGTTAGAATCCCGATGCTCCAACTGCTTCAGCGGGTCGGGTTCTGTTGGACTTCTCAGTGATGAAGAAACAGAACGAAGTGGAATCCCAACAAAGACACTGAGGGATGTTTTGATTCTGAACTGGTTCCCTACCCTCTGCTGCACCAGCAGGTGTCGGTTCTCCAGCTCCTTCCTCTTGGTAGCGCAGTCGGCAGAAAGCTGCGAAAGCTGAGGAACAAACATCCAGGTTTGAGCAGCGATCAACCAAAACATGGACCATCAGAGGTCAGAGGTCAGAACCTGAGCTCCCAGGGTCTTCATGCTGGGCTCCAGGTCTCTGAGCAGGTCGAAGCCTTGGTGGAAGAAGGTGAACTGAGCGTGCACGAAGGAGAACACCTGAATGCAGAAAGAAATCTGATCAACATTCAGTATAGAGCGACTTTTGTTCCATTATTGCTGCAAAGCAAAGAAAATGGTTTTGAAATAGAAATTTGAAGAAAAAAAATCAATTCAGAAATTAAATTTTGAACATTTTAATTAGAAAAAAAAAGGATTTGAGAGTAACTTTGATTTTGTTATTAATATATTTTTTTAATCAACTTAATGTTTTCCATTTTTTTCTAATTTCTCTATTTCAGATTGAGTTATATAAACTTCATTCTTTTCAAAGCCTGCGCCCTTAAGTGAAGAGAAACTGATCTGGAAAATGCAAATTTGAGAAGAATCAAATTCATAAAACTCAACCTTAACAACAAAAAAAGGAATCTAAAAATATGAAAAAATGTTAAATTAATAAAACTTAGTAAAAAATACATCAAAATAAATTCTTTTGAAAAAATAATTTGTGAAATTTGTGAAAACAAAAAAATTGCTCCCAAAAACTTTTATTGATTAAAATATTTTCTAAAGTTTTATTTCTGGATTGCATTTTTTTTCCCCAAATTTCATTAAAAACAAATTGCTCTTTGCAACTATAATAAAATCCCTCACACTATGCATGCTTGAAGCAACAGTAGAGAGGAAAAACTCCCTCTTATAAAACAGAAACCTCCAGCAGAACCAGGCTCAGTGTGAGCGGCCATCTGCTGAGGCTGACTGGGGTTCAAGGAGACAGAAGCAGAGATACAAAAGCAGCTGTAAAAGGCGGCCTCGTCCAGGAAACACACAGCCACGCAGACGAGGTCCGAGCCAGCTCCCATGTCAGAGGATGAAGAGAGCACATCCAGCCAGTCACAGTCAGAAAAACAGGACCCCACTGGAAAATACGGCCAATCTCCAACATCTATAAAAGCTGCTGGGGTTCTATTTGTGGAAAACTTGAAACTGAATTGATCTGAAATGTCGCAGAAACGACTCACAGAGTTTAGGACGTCCATCTTCTGTTGGGTTTTAAAGGTGTTGAGCTGAAAAACATCAGAAAGAAGATTTGGGGTCAAAGTAGACTGACTCCATATGATGGGGAGGTTCCGGTGATAGTTCTTCTGGGTCGTACCTGCAGGCAGTAATCCAGGGCAAAGTGTTGGTAACATTTCCGTGTGGCGAGCAGCAGGTGGCTCGCCCGCTCCGCGTCGGCGGCTTTGTGCCGCGACACCTGAGCGTTCTTCGCCGCTGCCGTCTCCAGGTCCTCTCCGATCCGTACGAACTCCTTCCTAGTGTCGGCCAGCTGGGGCAGGAACCTTGGAGGCAGAGACAGCAGGAAGGGATCAGGATGGGGTTCAGGGTGCAGACGTAGTGGACCTCATGGAGACTCACTGTGAGCAGAGGCCGGACAGCTGCTGGACGATGGCTCGCTGAGTCTGATCCAGCAGCATCTGATGAGGGACAAAGGAAACGTCAGCTGAACTTCAGGGAGGAGAAGAGGAGGGCAGGAGGACTCACCGTGTGGAAGCTCAGCATCTCCTGCAAACCCTGCTGGAACTGGTTCAGGCAGGTCTGAACAAAAAAGCAAACAGGAAGTCAGGGAGACAAAAAGCTCCACATTCCCATCACCTCTGCAGGCCTTCTTACCATCACCACCGTCTCCTTCTTCTGATACAACAACAGCTCCGTCAGGCTGCTCAGGAACAGCTTATTGGCCGAGTTGTACGCTTGTCCCGCCTCCACCATCTTCCCGCACAGCTTCATCACCTGATTGGTCAGAAACAGTATGAGCAGAGAGCTGCTATGTGATGTTTAACTTCTGACGGTTTGTCTCAACCAGTGAAAGGAGGCTGAACCCAGCAGCGGGTCAGTGCCACAGAAAAAAACTGAAGTTTAAGTGTCATCAGGGATAGTGGTACCTTATCCAGGTGGGTCTCCAGCGAGGAAACATCGGCCTCAAACTGATCCAGAGTCAGTCTAAAGCAAGAAGATGAAACATCATCAGGATTTTCCTCTGGATAACAACTGGAATAGCTTCTCCAGGAGCAGGTTCTTCTCTAGCTGCTTCACATGGAGCTTTAATTAGCAGCTGAGCCCTCTGGTTCTGGAAGTCACCAGGAGCTCCAGAGGCTGAACCTGGACTTTCAACCACTTCCAGGTGAGTCCTCAGACTGACTCTGAGCCTCTCCAGCTCTTGATGAAGGTGATGTGATAAACACACCATTAGAAGCTCGTCCTCTGGACGAGAATCCATTTCCTTCAGCTGAATTCTTTCAGTTTATCACTAGTTTCCCTCACACTTAGTCAGTGTAGTCCTGTTTCTCTGACTGTGACTGTCTGAATGTGCTCTCTTCATCCTCTGATATGGGAGCCGGGTTGGAGCTCCTCTGTCTGGCTGTGTGTTTACTGGATGGGGCCGGCTGTGGAGCTGGTTAACAGCTGCCTTTTGTATCTCTGCTTCTGTCTCCTTGAACCCCAGTCGGCCTCAGCAGATGGCCGCTCACACTGAGACTGGTTCTGCTGGAAGTTTCTTCCTGTTAAAAGGAAGTTTTTCCTCTCCACTGTCACTACAAGCATGCTTAGTGTGAGGGATTGCATTTGAGTCAATGCAATCAACTTGTTTTCCTTAGATAGAAAACTTTGAGTCAGTTTGACTGGATGATATGCTGAACTGTAAAGTGCCTTGAGATGACATGTGTTGTGAATTGGGATATAGAAATGAACTTAATTATTCGCTTTTAGTTATTGAAGGTCTTTCTGATGAAAAGATCCTAGCTAAAACAACGTTCTATGTTTTTAATCAGAAATCCAGATCTATCACCTGTCCCATCTACTGCCTTGTTCATTGGTTCCACTTGTATAGTCTAAATGCTGAATTAATGTCCCGGTTATTATTAAAATCTGACAAGACAGAACTAGACGTTACCTGAACTCAGGTGAGTCCTTGATGCACTCCTCAAAGTCCAACAGGGAGTCCATTACGTCACGCAGGCTCCCTGGTAACGTCACCGAGTCTTCAGTAAGATTTATTCAACATCTTAACCGTTAGTAAGCAGTTAGCCTGTTAGCTCCGCTGCTGATTCTGCTCATTTCCAGTGAGCGGTGTCTTTAAAATGACACTCTGTACTGCAGACCTACACGGAACCTTCTGGAGACTCCGGTCCACTCTGCATACCGTTTCGGTACGGACGAACCTGTAGATTTAAATTGTTTCAGTTGCTTTATTGAAGTGACAGCTGTCTCTGGAACCGTCAGCTAATCCGGTTCAATGGAGCGTCGGTTCATCAGGAGAGGAAAGCGACCCCCAGCGGCTCGGAGTGGAACTGCACCCACTGAGAGCCTCTAACAGTGATGATTCACTAAAACACTAAAGGAAATAATAAATATAAGACTTTAATTAGATCTATAATGTAATTTAGCAAAGTTCTGTGTTTATTAGCAATAAATAATATATTCTAACGCTTAGCTTTAAAAATGTATACATTAAATGATAAACATTTTTATTATAATGTATTTATTCAAAATAAAAAGATAAAAAAATAGAGTGGTGTCTTTTTTTTTTTTATTCATCTGGTGGAAAAATAATCTCAAAGATTAACTGCCTCAACAAGTTGAAAAAACTCAATTGGGCCTATTGTATATAATGAGCCTAAAAAATTTTTTAAGTCATTTTTACTCTCATGTTTTAATCCACCTCACATATCTGCATTCAAATTAACAAACTGGAATAATGTTTTCATTCTTGCAACCTTAAAAAATCTTTTAAGGTTTTTATACTACTAATTAATTAATCTTGAGAAATTATCAGGACTTATTTTTGTTGCATACATTTTTAATCATTTTTTAAAATGCAATTAGAATTAAAAACTATATATATTTTAAAAATGATTTTCATTATTTTGTTGCCAAATATGTATTTTTATCAGTTCTTAGACTTTGATGAGATGTTTTGTTAAATGATAAAAAACTGTAAGGAAACAAATTGCTTTGAAACACTTTTAAAATGTTTGCTCTTTCGTTGCCCAATCTGACAGTAGTTTTCCTTCAACATCCAAACATGATGTATTAACGGTGTATAAATAATCAGAGTGAAATTAATAATCTCTAAGTGGACGTCCTGAAACTGTTTTTTAACTACTTAAAAATGTAAAACACACAAAGACTTAAAGAAAAAGATTTTATTGAAAACAACGAGACGTGCAGATGTGAGATCAGGGATAAGGATGAAGCATCTGAGGGCTCAGTGGCAGATGGAGACCAGGATGACGGTGACGTTGTCGGCACAGCCTCGTCTCACCGCCTCGCTGGCCAACTGCTGACATGCAGCTTCAAAACGAAGCTCCTCCTCCGTCAGATCTGCCCTCTGCTCCACGCTCGCCTCCTGCAGGAAGGAAACTTCCTATCAGATCTGAGTCGTTTCCAAGCAAACACGGAGTATTAGACACAGGCTAGAGATTTTCGTTTTTACAGGGAATAAAGTCGTAAAATTAAGAGAAAAAACTTGTATTTTAAGACAACTCTTACAAAAAGCCTTCCTCTAAAATGAGGAATGTCGAGCATCATGTGAAGTTATAATTTAGCTCTGGTTTGACAAAAAAGGAAATCTTTTAGCACAACTGGGCAGTAGGTCAAAGTGGACTCAGGTCGCTGTTTGGTGGAGCTGGTCGGCCGTCATCTGATGGTCGGAGCTCGAAGCTTTCTTTCTGAAACGGATTGTGCTATGATGACTTCATTGTCGTAATATTATGACTGTATTCTCATTATGTTATGACTTTATTCTCAAAATAAAAAAAATTCTAGTCTGGCCCTAATCCGTCATACCAAGCAGGTTTAAAGCTTTAAAATGAAAATAATACCTGGAGGATTTTGAGGACAAACTTCACGGCTTCATCAGCTGAAAACACCTTAAACAAACCGTCACAGGCCAGGAGGATGAACCTGCAGACAAACAGCCTTTATTCATGTGTCTGCTTAACCGAGCAGAGGTCAAAGGGCAGATATGGCGCAGATATTTTGGAAATGAAATCTTAAAAAAAGCAAACCTTAAATAAACGTTTAAAAAACTTTTTTATAAAATTTTATATTTTCAAATTTATTCTTTAAGATTTATTTTTTTTATATTTTAATTTATTGATTTTATTTTTCTGAATTTCTGCTTTTCAGATCTTTACTATTTTTTCAACTTTGGTCTCAGATCATATTCTCTTCACTTAAAGCCAAATCCAAACGTTCAGTCTTGACCAATAAAAATGTTGCCTTCGTCCATCAGACCAATAGAAATGCATAAAAAAAAACAAAAAGAAAACAAACAGTTAAACAAAATTCAGCAAAATAAAATATGACTAATATGAAAAAAAGATAATAGATAAGAGGAAACAGGATTTTTTTTCAAATTTCCATTTAGAAAACATGTTTTTTTTGCAACAATAATGGATCAAAATTCCCTCCATTCAGCATCTGAAGGAAACACTGCTTCATTAGAACTAAGTGGTGACCAGTATTCTTTTCTTTCTGCTGAAATGTTAAAGTTCACATGTTAGTTCTGATATTTCGGGTTCAGGATTTTTTTTTTACCTAAAACCCAGATGTTCCACAGCGACCGCTTGTTTACAGCTGGTATTCTTGTCTATTTAGGGTCCGTTTCTCAATTCACTAAAACGGGAGTATGGACTCGTGTCCTCGCCAAGGATGTTCTTGAGAAGAACACAAGAAAGTGTGGACTCTGGGAGAACGGGAGCACGCAGCATAAATATGGGTCAATTAGAACAGTGCTAAGACTGAGACTGAGGACATTTCACGAGTGCACAAGCACATGAGAACACACAAGTACACAAATAGAGAAACGGCCAGGCTCTCACCCCCTAGGATAGGAGGGAGTCACCTTAGCAACCAGGGGCATCATGGCTGCCTCCTGCCTGCTTAAATTTCTGCTCCTCACTGATTCTGAGCAGTTGTTCTTGCCTGTCGTTAGCAGTTAGCTGACACCTCCTCACATCAGGCGTCGAAATGATTCCGCAGCGTTTGTACTGCCCGTCACCGATGGAGCGGGACACCTCCAGGACGCCGAGCACCCGGCCGTCTCTGTGGGAAGACAGCCAAGTCAGATTTGTTTGGGTGAGGACGGGGTTCCGTCAGACGGTGACCCACCTGACGGTGCCGCCGGCTCTCTGGATCCTCATCCGCTCCTCATAGATGGTCGGGTTGTGTTCCTTGCTGAGAGCCAGAGTGACCGGCTTCTTCTGATCGTCTGCAGCCGCCGCCTCCATCCGACACAGCACCGCCTGCAGACACATGGCCAGATTCCTCACATCATCCTGCTGCTCTTTAGGAACATCCTGGAAAGCCTCTATAACAGAGGTCACGGATTAGCAGACCACGGTAAAGCCATTCGTAGCGTCCGGCTCTAGGCTACACGTGATACAAATTATCCAATGAGCTACTCTCAGTCTGGGTTGCTGCTGCTGCTACTTTTAGACACAGCAGGCAAACTTGTAGCAAGCCGGGCGATGGAAAAGAAGGAGAAGATGATGAGAAAAAGAGAGCAGAGAAAGTGTGGACTGCTGGAAGAACTGCGGTGAACTGGTGACAGAATAAGGAAACGGTGCTCAAAGATGACCCTGCACATTTAGAGTATGTTTGGCTCAACCTGCTGCTGTGAAGCAGGATTCTCCACCATGAACAGAATCAAAAATAAATCTGGATCCAGGCTCCAAATGAGCTCCTTGATATGAGCTTTAGAATGGCTTAGTCTCTATTCAAACCCAGGTTTAAAGCCTTGCAGGGCAGCATAAAGCCCACTGCCAACATTAACCCTTTATAGGGAAGTTAGTGTATTTGATCTCTTGCATAACCCTTACAAATAGAGTCCCTCCTCCATCCCTCACTGAGGTCTAGAAGCACAAGATCTATATCCAGCCATTCAGCAAAGATCCTGCTACATGGCTGTACATCTTATTTTGGCATTTGACCAATTAGATGAGCCCTTGAATGATTTATTACATACACTGGAAAAATTATCCAGAAACAAGTAAAAATTTCTTAATTAAGTGTATTTACTCTTAATTTCAGAAGTTAAATGAGATGATTTGCCAATGGAATGAGTATTCTTACTCTTAAAATAAGATAATTAGATAATATGCACTTGAAACAAGACAATCCAGTTGTTTTTCTTATTTAAAATCTAAATTGTGTTGTTCCATTGGCTAAATGTATCTTTCAAAATGTATATCACTGAGAGCTCTATAACGAGTTAAGCCATAAAAAAGAGAAAAAGAAAAGAAAAAAAAAAGGTCAGATGTTTTATAAAATACATGAACCGGTAAATTATCTTTATACCAAAGTGAAGGATTGTTTTTCTCTACTTCAAAAACAATTTAGATTTTCAAATTGAAAAACTTTCTATTTTTTTTATTCTCAATTAAAAAAGTTATTGTATAAAATGGATACAAAATACCTGCTTTTTATTTCAGTGTTAAATTCTGTTTAAAGTAACAGATTATAATAAAAATGTCTCCGGACAGTTACTGGTTGATGATTTTCTTTATTGGGACCCCGCTGTTGTTTAATTGGTTAGCCCTGCTATAGAGGACCGATCCAGCTCACCCTGCTGTCTCCCAGGTTGGCTGCATACACCATGTCGTCCACCACCAGGACGCACGTAGCCGTAGATCCGTCCTTCCAGGCCGGCTTCCTGTTCACAGAAACATGGCTGCATCTCAGCTCTGAGACAGAAAAGGAAACTAAAAGTTTCTTTGTCAGATCTAGAATCTTACTGGCTGGATGCTTTTTTCAGGAAGTCTTCATCTGTCTGCCGGAAAGTGTCCAGGAGACATTTCTTCAGTAGCTTGTCCAGATTCTCATTGTCTCCTGAAACAGAAAAAAAAGGGCTGAATTAAAGCAGACTGTCGTCCATCTGAGGGTTTCCCTGAAGTTCTGATCCAGACTTTGGCTTCAGGAGAAGCGAAATCCCAGCAGGAAGAAACCTCACCAGTGGGGAACTTCTTGGCCAGATTCAGGTGAAGGTTTTCTGCAGCGTATCGAGACGCTCGAGCTCCGCCGTGTCCGTCAAACACGGCAAAGTAGGAGACCTGAGACCTGCGGAGACAAAGAGACACAGACAGCAGCTGAGAGGCTCGTCACCTGAGAACAGGTGGAAACTGAACAGTTAAAATCCAGAAACCACAAAGAAATCCAGACTACAGGAAGGAACCAGGACCAGATCAGCATTTTGGCCGAACAGGTTGGATCAGAGCGTATTGGGAAGTCTTACACGTGTCCCGGCAGCGAGGACAGACA